GCCAGAGCACGCTTGCCCTCAGGCTACTATGCGAATCGGTGCGCTCGAGATAGGATCACTCAGCCAGTGTGCCTCCAGCCCAGCTTCTCATACGACTCTGTATCCAGTAGGCAGGACGTCTCAAGGCTTGCGCGCTCGTCGCTCGACTGAAATTCGGGTGCCAAGAGCGGCGTCAGTTCAAACTCAGGGAGGCGCAGACCATGGCCTTCTTCCAAACCAGTGTCGTGGTGTTCGTATGACTGACGCAGGTCTGGGATCGGGTGGACCTTGCGAAGTGGACTCTGAAATCTAAGCTGTGGAGGGGTGTCTTTTGCTGGAGGAGTGGGTGGATTGGCAGTGTCGATTGTGAGGCCGACCTTGGCTGGTGTCTTCTCAACTTCACCTCCCTGCTGACTAGGGCTGACGGCGGGCGAGCTAGCTCCCCTGGGACGGCGACGCGAACGATTCCTTCTGGGATAAGGATTGAAACCAGACGGAGTAACTACCTTATTGGGCAGAGACTTTGAGGTGTCAGAGCGTTGGGGCTTTGTAGGCGTCTCGTACACTCGTCGTACAGGGATGATGGGGCGGGCCTCGACGACACGGTGCTGACGGGGCAGTGTGCCAAATACTTCTGCTGCCTTGTGTGGCATGGGAGGTGCGGCTTCGACAGTGGTCTTCTTGAAAGGGTTGTGGAATTTGAAAAACTTCTTCATTGGGCTCTTAACTGCCTCTGGTGCTGCCTTTTGCTCGTTGTTGGCAGCTCGGCATTGTGCCCGAAGATCATCCCGTCGAATGAAGACGTCGTTCTCGTTGACAGTGCCTGAATTTGTTAGTGGTGAAATTGCAACATCGTGGTGAACTTACCTGTAGTTGGTGTAGGCGGCACCTGACCTGTCAACTTGAACAGGTTCCTCTCCGAACGTGCCTCAATCCTGGCCCGGCTAGTCTCCTCACCCCTTCCCTCAAGCATTGCAAGAGCGCCGGCACGGTTCTTCTCTATGCGCTCAGAGAGCGTGTCTGGTGCCGTTGGCGTGTTGTTGTTGTTGTTGTTGTTGGTGTGGTGGTGGGGAGACGAGGAGCGCGCTGCGTTTGTCAGTTGTCAGTTGTTGCCTGCGGTGATGCAATGCTCACCCGAGATGGCACGTAGAAAGTTCCCAACACCAGTCCCGGCTGTGACCTGCCGGGACTGGTGTTGGGAACTTTGCATGACCGAAGTCATGCTCAACTGAGCCGACCTGCTATCTTGTGAGTAACTTGCGGGTCATGGTTACACTGAGGGTGACGAACCGGGTCGGCCAGCCCATACAGCTGAAATCGCTGTTTTCCTATACTTGTGCACGTTAGAATGAGTCTTTCTGATTAGTAGAGGTTAGTCGGCGGCGGCGGCGGCGGCGAGGTTCGAGACGGGGCGTCATGTGTTGCTGTCTGGCGCTTCTAAAAGTCGTGTACAAGCTAAAGAGCTCACGAAAGCCCGTGGTGGAGAGATATCTATAGGCACCCATCACAGCAGCAAGCGGACTCACGCTCACTACGTGCAAGTGCTCACTGCGTGTAAGTGAGGGATAAATACGCAGTGATGCAGACTTTAATGAGAGAGAGCAAGACAGTGTGCCGTATGTGCCGTACAGGTCGCCAATCTACGACTAAGAGGGAAATGGACTTGATGTGCAGAATCAAAGAGATGTTCATGCCACTTCTGATGGACTTGACGTAGAATCAAAAAGATGTTCATGCCACTTCTGACACGCAAGGGGAATTGAAAATTGTCTGGACTTGGATATATTCTGGTTGACTGCCCTCTGGGCTTCTGCAATGACAGCATGTCAACGCGAATAGCAAAAGAAAAGGACCAGACTGAGGATAAGAAAATGAACGCTACCCACAAATGGCGCCTGTATTCGAGAGGTATCCAAAAGATTCACGCCTAATCAAAGAAGTTCTGCACCCAAAAGCTCACCGCATGCAATCTTGCACAACTGCCGCTTGCCCTTAAAGTATGCTGCATTTCTTTCCCTTCTTTCTCTCGCCCCCCTCCTTCTTCGCCGCTGGTGGCTCAAGCGCTGCTACAATGGCCTGTACGTGTTAGCGTTTTCATGAGGGTAGCGTTCCAACTCCTACCTCATCAAACACGTCCTTGAGTTTGTACTGGGTTAGCGCCGAGCACTCGACGTACTTGACCGCGCCGAGTTCTCGTGCCATCCGCTCTCCGTCCTCCTTCTTTACCGGGGCCATCCTTTGCTTCGATAGCTTGTCCTTTACCGCCGTGTCTTCCCGGAGATCCACCTGTGTGCCGACAATCAGGCACGGCACACCCGGGCAGTGGTGATGTACTTCGGGGAACCATTTTTCGCGCACGTTCTCGAAAGAGGCGGGGGAAGTGACTGAGAAGCAGACAAGGAAGACGTCAGTCTGGGGGTAGGAGAGCGGTCGGAGGCGATCGTAATCCTCCTGTCCGGCGGTATCAAAAAGACCGAGCGTGTATGGTTCATCACCAATCCTTGGAAGCAGTCAGCACCTGCTTCGGAAGTCACGCGCTGCAATGGTGGGAAGGAGCAAAGGGAGGCTCACATTACGGTCACGGCATAGTTGTCGAAGACTGTGGGGACATATTCCGAGGGAAACTTGTTGGTGGTATAGCTGATGAGGAGACATGTCTTGCCGACCGCACCGTCGCCGACGACGACACACCTATAGAGAAGATGGGGTTAGTATAGTGCGCGATGGTGAGGTTTGAGGGTGGCGCATACTTGATTGTCGCAACCACCATGGTGAGGTTTAGAAGATTGCGAAAGAAGGGAAATTTGAATCCCAAGAAGCAGCTCTTTGGATAGCGATAATTTGTTTGGGTGGGCGAGAAACGGTGACGAAAATTCCTAGTTGGTGCAGGTGGTTTGGACTAAGGAGGTAGTAATGCGGAGATGTCGCTACGGGCTAGGGCTAGAGTTGGCCTGCTATCCAAACGAGGGGTCGAAATGAGTGGAGAGAGTCTACTCGACAGCCAGTCAGTCTCAGAATGGGCTATGCGATCAAGATGGCAGACTCGGGCACGCATACCTGTGAGTCGTGGTGCAGACGGGCGGCGGCGCGTGCTACGCTGGCTTGGGGAGTGAAACTCGAAACGTTAGACTGGGTCGAGCTCCAGGGCGGGCAGTGGGAGGGCGGGCAATTCAAGGCGGGCTGGGTAGGTTCGAGGACAAGGCACAAGACACGCGACCCAACAAGGACAGCACAGGCGCAGCGGAGCCGGCAAAGAGGCGAGAATACACGACAAGGTCGCGGCGTTTGAGGGCTTAGGTGAGGTTGCAAGATGCGAGATGCACCTGCGGACCTGGAGCTGCAACCACGCCAATCAGCAGTTGAAAGCGGCTTAGGACTGTTATCTCAAGCTTGGAAGCTTGCATCGGCTCCCGCCCGTAGCTCGGCAGCGGCATATTATGTATCGGCCTAGGTAGCGTCTGCATGTCTGCACAATTTCACTCTGCAAGCTACCTGCAATTGCAAGCTTCATTTTTACCCAGGCCAGACTGTGACCATGGCCGCGTGCTACTTTAATTGAGCGCATGCGTGGAATGGCCGTCTGAACAACTGCCGCAGACACATGCCATGCGCGGGGGCTGGCATTGGCCTGGGAGACGCTGCTACGAGCGACCAGGACTACGTACCTACAATACCAGCTGCGAGAGCGTTGCTGCATCTTCTGCATTCCAGCCCAGCACCAACTATAAAGTTATCCCTAGACAAGAGTCCCTGGACAAGAGCAGCCCCAGATCTAGGAAGATCCGTGCACAGCCAACAACGTGGCTGATCGTCCTCCCGACGTCCAAGGCGCAGGGAGTGTTTGCGCAGATTCTGTACAGCGTATACTTATGTGTGTAGATGGAATAGAATTAGACCCCCCACTTGTATGTTGTTGAGCCAGTTGTCAACCTCATCAACATAATTAGGCTTGTCAACATTACCAACCTCATCACAGCATGCAATCTCTCAACTATGCCCGGTGTCTACGCTTGGTCTATTGCCGATAGACTCGAATTTTAGCTTGCTGCAGGGCAACCCCGCACCGCCAATCAGCGGCAACCTCGGCCTTCGGCGAAACTAAGCCCCGCCACGCTTGGACGGCTCCATCTCCATTCGTCTCAACTCACGCTGCATCATGCAACGAGGCGGTACCTTCTACCACTCAGCAGCCGTGCCGCAAGTTGACATGCCATGGAGGGTCTCGAGGACGAATTAGATCTTCACTATCACAAGGGCCTGAATCCCGACGTCTACTACCGTTGTCCGACTCTTGAAGTAATAACCATCTGCCAGCCCGTAACGAACGCAGCTAAGGTGCTCGTGATATAGTCCCTTGAAGGTGCTCTGCGCAATGAGGTGGACAAGAACTCCGCCAGCTTCATCCCCACACATGTCGTCACAGAGTTCATCTTTGCCGCTGCTTCAACCATCACAGTTCCCGTGACCCAGCAACAGAGTCTTGACGCACTGATACAGCCCACCGATTATGCCCAAAGCATCGCCGTCGAATATGCGCTGTGTCAGGACATTGACGGGAAAGACCGACTAAAGGTGCAGCGAGCAATTGCCAGGTACTTGAATTCTGCACTCTGCCTCGCCTTTACTCAACCCGTACAGATCCATTATTGAAGCCATCCAGGAGACAGACGGGTTCAAGTACACTGAGCGCTCCGCCCAAAACAAGGAGGGTGGCGATGGCGCGAGACTCAAGTATGTCTGCCTAGACAGTCTGCAGAACCACAATCGCAAAACCAACCAACAAAAAAACATGTCTCAAAACGGCCATGCAAGTGAAGTGGAAGTCAAGAAAGGACAGGCAGGGCTGCCAACTTACGACTGCGAAGGCGCTATCCATGTCAAATTCTCCCTCCAGCGACAAGCCATCAATGTCGTCTACAAGCATAATCCCATTCATACCACTCATCAGAACGATGACAGGTAAGTTGACTCATCCGGTTACACTTGCAGTTCTGGCATGTGACATCCGGTATCAAATCTGACTTTTGATAGTCTTCCCGCTCTCGCCACGAACGATGATGGCGGTCCGGTAATCGACGTTGCAAGCGAAAAGAAACCGCGCAAAAGACGCAGCAAAAAGGCCGACGCGCAAGTGCAAGATGAGTTCATCGATGGAGATCTCGACATGTCAACATCGCCAGAAGCGCCAAAGTCGTCAGTCAAGAAGACGCGCAAGAGGAAGGCGGCGGTAGTCGCCCACAGCAGGTCGCAAGACGTCCACCAAGAAGAACAAAAAGGCTCAACTGCCCGCATCTCCCACTAGGTCACGCAAGAAGGTCCCTGTTAGCACCGAGCCACCGCCGATGATACCAGTCGGTGGGGCTTGCATTCGCTGCCGCGAGAAGAAGATCAAGTGCAATGAGGCCAAGCCCACGTGCAACCAGTGTCGTAGAGGACTGTGGACATGCCAGTATGAAGTGTTGGGCAGCAAAAAGTGCTCCAAGAATGGCTGCCTGAATTGTAAACAGCGAAAACGAAAGTGTACTGAAGAGAGGCCATCGTGCGCTCACTGTTTGCGACTGAATGACGACTGCGAATACGCAGAGTACTCCTGAGTTGAGTTTCCGGGATATCATGAAACAAAAAATGGCCCGAGAGCGGCTGTCAGCATCGGACCATCATCAAACTTAGGAGGGCACCCTGCAGTTTTTCCCGAGGTCCAAGACGGCACTCCCGGCAAGTGCTTATTCCCTTAGGCATTCTTACGACTGTTATAGGCACGAGTCCGAAGCCTACGTCAAATTGCGTTACTCTGGTGAAAAGGCAGCTCATGCAGTGCCTGGTGGGAACACACAAGCTTGGGCGTCGTCATGTCGCCATAGCCAAGATGCACATGACCGTGTGCTAAGGCTTTCTGGAAGGAACATGACCCCTCAAAATCAACGGCGTCCCAAAGTAAGAGACATGTCATTCTTAGTGGGGTACAATATGCAGAAATATCCGGCGTGGCGCTGCACGTGTTGCAGGACCAAGAGCGGTGTGCGAATAGCAGAAGCTGGCAGGCCGGTCAACTAGCTCAGTTCACTATACATCACAAGATGAGCCGCACGCTCCCCACATGGTTCCTCCGCGTCTTCATCATGCACTAGATGACTTTCCGGGGATTCGTCCGCTTGCGATGTAGCTTTTGATGTTCCTATTCGCTAGCCCCTGGCAGCCGGCTCTTGGGCTTGGGAACAACGGGCCGCAGCCCTACATTCTCCCCACACCCCTTCAATCAAACACACGGTTCGCCACCCTCCATAGCACTGCCTGTTCAAAGCATGGTTTTCGGTTGTGTGGGATGGGCTATATCCACTATGGACCAAGTGCCCTTTGGCCAAGGGGCAAGTGGGCTTGCAGTAGAGCTTCCTCGGGCTTGGTCGGTCCGTGGCATTATAGATGGAAGAATATTTAATCACATCAAGTGCCATCAATTCTAAGGCAGACGCCCAGTTCACTCTCTTGGACGTTGATATTCTTCATCATGCGGTCTTACATTCTCCCAGTGCTTGCTACGGTGGCCTTGTCCAAGGCTTCAGGTGCGGCTTGACATGCTTTATATATGATGATCCTTACTAATTCCATTAGCAATCCCGTTTGACTTGACCTCTGCAAAGCGTGCAGTTGGCAGTTGGGACGATGCCCACGCAAAAGCGACTGCGGCGCTTGCAAAGCTCTCTCAAGATGAGAAGATTGGTCTCGTCACTGGCGTAGGCTGGCAAAATGGTCCCTGCGTTGGAAACACCAAGGCGGCCGCCTCGATTGGGTACCCATCGCTTTGTTTGCAAGGTAAGCAATTATTGTTTCATAGTCGTGCGAGTCGGGAAAAGAGGGGCTTGTTCGGAAAAAGGAATATCAAAACTCCCTGTACTTAGCTCGCGAGTCGTATGGCCGTGCTAACAACTTCAAGATGGCCCACTCGGTATACGCTATGTCAACGGCGTAACTGCTTTCTCTGCTGGTATCCACGCTGCCAGCACATGGGACATCGACCTCGTCAGGGAGCGCGGCTCTTTCCTCGGCGCAGAATCCAAGGCACTCGGCGTCAACGTCCAGTTGGGTCCTTCTGCCGGTCCCCTTGGCAAGCATCCCGATGGCGGCCGTAACTGGGAGGGCTTCGGCTCTGATCCCTACCTCCAGGGTATCATGATGGCCCACACCATTGAGGGTATGCAGGAATCTGGTGTCCAGGCCACTGCCAAGCACTGGCTTGTCAACGAGCAGGAGGTGAAGAGAGACACCATGAGCTCCGATGTATCTGACCGAATTCTTCGCGAAGTCTACGCCTGGCCGTTCCAGGATGCTGCCCACAGCAACGTGGCTGCGTTCATGTGCAGTTACAACAAGATCAACGGTACCTGGGCTTGCGAGAGTGAGGGTATCATGCAAAAGATGCTCAAAGACGAGATGGGTCACCGTGGTTACATCATGTCCGACTGGAATGCTCAACACACCACCACCGGTAGCGCAAACGGTGGTCTCGACATGACCATGCCCGGTAGCGACTTCGCCGTTCCCGCGGGCAGCAAGTTCTGGGGTCCTCAGCTCGCAAGCGCTATTGGTAACGGCACAGTCAAGCAAGCGCGTCTTGACGACATGGTCACTCGTGTTTTGGCATCTTGGTACCTCCTCGGTCAAGACAAGGCTTACCCCAACGTCACATTCAACTCCTGGAATATCGTCACCCGCGATGTTGCCAAGAACCACAAGACGAACGTCCGCGCTACAGCTCGTGACGGTATTGTCTTGCTGAAGAACACCCAGTCAGCTCTGCCCCTTAGCAAGCCCAAGAGCATCGCTGTTATTGGAAGCGACAGCATTGTCAACCCCAGGGGAGCCAACGCGTGCGTTGACCGCGGCTGCACCGAAGGCACACTCGCCATGGGTTGGGGATCTGGCTCAGTCGAGTTCCCGTACCTCGTTGCTCCTTTAGACGCCATCAAGGCTCAAGCCCAAAAGGACGGCACCACTGTCAAGTCTGCCCCTACTGACAATGCAAGCCAAGGTGCTGCTGCTGCTCAGAATGCTAGCATCGCTGTTGTATGCATCAACGCCAATGCAGGCGAAGGCTACATCACCGTCGAAGGCAACCCCGGTGACAGAATCAACCTCGACCCCTGGCACAACGGCAACGAGCTCGTCGAGGCCGTCGCAGCCGTCAACAAGAAGACCGTCATTGTCGTCCACAGCGTCGGTCCCATCTTGATGGAGCGCTGGATCGAGAACCCCAACGTCGTCGCCGTCGTCTGGGCCGGTCTTCCAGGCCAAGAATCCGGAAACGGTCTCGTCGATATCCTGTACGGCGCCGCATCCCCCAGCGGCAAGCTCCCTTACACCATCGCCAAGAAGCAGTCAGACTACGGTACTGTGATTCCCAATGGTGACGACAAGGACTGGTCACTTAACGTCGACTACCGCCATTTTGACGCCCAAAACATTACCCCTAGGTTCGAGTTCGGCTTCGGTCTTTCATACACAAACTTCACATACTCTGACCTCTCCATCACTGGCAAGCCCTCTGCCGGTCCCGCCACCGGTCCCATCATCCCCGGTGGTCCCGCCGACCTTTTCGAAACCGTCGCGACCGTCACGGCCAAGATCAGCAACAGCGGTAAAGTCGCTGGTGCGGAGGTACCGCAACTCTACATCGGATACCCCAAGTCAACCAACTCTTCGCCCAAGCAGCTGAGAGGATTCTCCAAGCTCAAGTTGAACGCTGGAGCAAATGGAGTTGCGACTTTCAAGCTGAGGAGGAGGGATTTGAGCTACTTTGATGAGGCGACGATGAAGTGGACGGTTGCGAGTGGCGAGTACCAGGTCTTTGTTGGTGCTAGTTCGAGAGATGTTAGGCTGACGGGGAAGATTGTGGTGTAGATGGATGATGATATTTCGATGTATATATTGATGTCATGATACACGAGCGCGTGGGATTCCGCGGCTTGATGAAAATTAATTTCGTTTTGAATGTCATCTTACAGGTTGTTAAAGTGAGTGTAAGCAGAATCAGAGGAATAAACGACTAATTGGCAGATATATATTACCCATTCGGCAGTGAAGAGTATTTGACCTGCTATGAATCCTGCTGATGACGCGTACCTAGTTGGACATAACAGCGGCTCGGGCTCACGATCTTACCATTACACACCGCACAACCCAGAGACGGCAAGAGAAGGTAAAGTCAAAAGGGCTGTTCAGACCACGTAGTCTATAACGCAACCTCACCCGCAAAACATGCCTCCGATGCGCGAGTCCATCCGAGACAAGGCGCACTCGTTTGTGTATCGTCAATATTCCTTGTTGTCGATCTGGAATGTTCGGCAAACCTATCAAACAACAAAAAGGTGCCGACATCGGAAAAGGCCCGCGGCCTATGACTCTCCACTTGGAACCCTCCAAATTGACTTTGATCGTCGTGTGGACCTCCGAGGAAAAACTGTCATGTTGGTTCCGGCAAAGATAACCCCGAGTACGGATTACACGTGTTGTGTTGGTAGAATCTTTGTGCGCTACGCGCTTAAAGTTCAAAGATGCAAAATTGAAGTTATTCAGTAGCGGCAGGGTCCGGAACAGCACAGGTACTACGGGATAGCGGGGTGAAAACAATGATACCGAGACTGTACTTCCCCAGATGACCAGGATGTAGGTTTGAAAAAATTTGGTCCAGTCCAATCTTATCGTGACAGATGCTATCTAGTCAGCCCTGTCAGCAATGTAGTCATTGGTTGTCGATTGGTTGTCCCTGCACGTTGGCGCTGATTACGTCTGTGCTGGTCAGTGTCCCGCAGTTGAAAATCGTCTAACGCCATCGTCAGTCATTTTGCTTTCACATAACCCTCTTCCACCTTCCTCCTGCTCCACCCTGTTCGAAAAAACGCAAAGCTTGAAATAGTCACTGCGGTGAAACCCCGCCCTCTTCTACCATCGACTGGCCCTACTATCGCGCATATGAGTGCTGCCCCGACACTCTTCACTTCCCAGGTACGTTATGAGGTTCTTATCTCCGCTTGAGCTGCTCACCGTCAATTCACCGCCGGCCGTATTGCTAGGTGGCTTGATGCTCGATGCATTCTTTTCTCGTCTCGTCTTCTTTTCTCTTTGATGACATTGGCTAATTGAGTTTTGCAGGACTACATCTCAGGTATGCTGCCATCCGAAGCTGCCGCGTCGAGCGTCTGTACTGATCATGTTGCAGACCACCTGTGGAAGGCCTCAGTAAACTGAACGCCTACCCCTACCGAACAAAAACACTATTTACACCACATTCCCGCTCATCATGTTGTCGCAAATGTTTAAACCTTCCGCCGTCCGGTCCGCAGGTCGCCTGGGACGTGTGACAAAGAACCCAGTACAAGCCCGCTACCTGGCTACCGTACAGGCAAACACTCAACGTGCCATGCCAACTCCTAGCATGCGCAAGGCTACAGAGATCTCCAATGAACCCGCTACATTTACCATCAAGGTATGTACATTCATACTTTTGACCCTGCACATTACTCACCACTCATAGAACGGACCCATCTTCGAGGGCAGGTCCTTTGGTGCCAAAACCAACGTCTCTGGCGAGGCCGTCTTTACCACCTCGCTCGTCGGATACCCCGAGTCTATGACTGACCCCTCATACCGTGGTCAGATTCTCGTCTTCACACAACCGCTTATTGGCAACTATGGAGTTCCATCAAGCGCCCGCGATGAGCATGGCCTGCTCCGCTACTTTGAGTCGCCATGGATCCAAGCATCGGGTATTGTCGTCCAGGACTACGCTCTGAAGCACAGCCATTGGACTGCGGTCGAGTCACTTGCACAATGGTGTGCTCGTGAGGGTGTTCCCGCCATCTCGGGCGTTGATACTCGTGAGATTGTCACATACCTCCGTGAACAAGGTTCTTCCCTTGCTCGCATCTCAGTTGGAGAGGAGTACGATGCCGATGAGGATGAGGCTTACATCGACCCTGAGGCTATCAACCTCGTCCGTCGCGTATCCACCAAGGCACCTTTCCACGTCAGCTCTTCTCTGGGCGACATGCATGTGGCTCTGATCGACTGCGGTGTCAAGGAGAACATTCTCCGCAGCCTCGTCTCTCGCGGTGCTAGCGTTACCTGCTTCCCCTTTGACTACCCCATCCACAAGGTTGCGCACCACTTTGACGGAGTCTTCATCTCCAACGGCCCAGGTGACCCAACCCACTGCACCACCACCGTGCACAACCTCCGCAAGCTCTTCGAGACGTCGCAAATCCCTGTCATGGGTATCTGTATGGGTCACCAATTGATTGCGCTCGCTGCCGGAGCAAAGACAATCAAGCTCAAGTACGGAAACCGTGCCCACAACATCCCCGCACTTGACCTTACCACTGGCAAATGCCACATCACCTCGCAAAATCACGGCTACGCCGTTGATCCCACCACTCTAACCAGCGAGTGGAGGGAATACTTTACCAACCTCAACGACCAGTCCAACGAGGGTCTCATCCACAACTCCCGTCCCATCTTCAGCGCTCAGTTCCACCCCGAAGCAAAGGGCGGACCCCTTGACTCGGCCTACCTCTTTGACAAGTACATGGAAAATGTCCAGCAGTACAAGAGCCACCAGGCTGGTTTCTCGGAGCGCAACAACAAGCCCAGCCCTCTTCTTGTTGACTTGCTCAGCAAGCAGCGTGTTGGCGTTCACCCTGCTGCACCGGACTTTGAGGGCCATGCTGCGGGTATGGACGGTCAGCAGATTGATATTGGAGGCCCGGTTGCGCCTTCTTACCAGCCTATTACTCAGAAGCCTGTTGCTTCTGCTGCTTAGGCTTGTTGGGTTTGCGTTTTGAGTCTGGGGTAAGGAGTTTTGATGATTGGAGTATTGGGATTGAATTGGATAGGATAGGATAGGGTAGGGTAAATTGCCAAAGGGAGATCGATGGTTGATGAAGGTTTATTTCTTGAACTTTTTGGTAGTAACGCAATTGCATCAAATAAACTTTGCTTGGTGAAGTGGGGATAAGTGATATACTGAAATTGTTGTAGTGGTCTTGTTCTTTATCATTCTTATGTATGTTATGGGCTTGTAGTTGAAGGTATGTATACCCACATCCAGATAACGCCGTCCCTTCTCAACAAACTAGGCCTTCCCAAACCCAGGCTCCTCCTCCAACTCCTCCTCCCCACCAGCACCAGCACCAGCAGTACCACCTTCAACACTCTCCCCTACGCCCAACCCCACCGTCACCTCACTCGCCCTCCCATCCTCCTTCCCACCTCCATTCCCACCCCCAGCATCCCCACCTTTCTTCTCCCTCCTCTCCATCTCCTTCTTCCGCGCCCCCGCCTTGAGCTTCTCCCACTGCTCCCGATACCTTCCCAAAACCTGTGCATTACGTTCATTTTGTTTAGCCAGTTGCTCATTGTTACTCATTAGATCAGCGACTTTGGCGTTTTGCGCGGCGAGCAGGGCTTCGAGGTCTGCTATGCGTTTTGTCGTGTCTGCGTCTACAGCTGCACCAGAACTAGGGTTGGGTGAGGAGCTTGGGGTTTGCTGTTGGGGCTGGGGCTGGGGTGGTAAAGGCGGGGAGGGCATGGCATGATGGATACCCTGAGAAGCAAGTGCTTGAGCGAGGGCATTCGTGTTATCACGGCCGGTGGGACCACGAGCACCGCGGAAGGATTGAGCGAGAGCATTGAAGCTGTTTTGAGAGTTTAGTTCCCACATTTGGATTCGTTTTGCTTGTTTATCGATGACGGATTTGAGGGTGTCATTTTCGAGGGCGAGTTCTTCCATTGTTTTGTGGCCTGTGCCGCGGCCGGCGGCTATGCTGCGGGCGGGCGTTACTCCGGTCGTGGTTGTCGCGGTTGTAGTTGTACTTGGTGTAGTGCTACCGCCGCGGGAACGTGGACGGCGTGATATGATGGGTGAAGGGGGCCCAACACTTTCTCTTGCGTCGACGAATTCTTCGTGGGAACTGCCTCTCATAGAGCCGGAGCCCTCATCGATGGGGTTGAGCTGGGTAGTGGGTGTCCCATTTTGGGCGTTGAGGACGCTGGCGTAGGTGACTGTTCCACCGGATGTTGGTACGAGGTAGAAACTCTCGTTGGGACCCAGGGGAGGTGCTCCATCTTCTCGTAGAGCGCGGAGTGCGGGCTTGCTTATCAGGGCTGCGAGGTCGGGGACGGATGACTTGACTGTCCTAGAGGCTTCAGGCGACTGTGCTCTGGACTTTGTTTTTGCAACCTTCTCTTCCTTTGGCTCAGAAACAGGCGTTGGCGTGGACGGGTTGAGCGGGAGGGAGGTAAAGGCGAGAGGAGCGCTGATGGCAGATATGACTCCTCCAAACGCGGCGTAGAAGCGACGGAAGTTGTCCTCTGCTGGAGGAGTGGCAGGCTGTGGAGGGGCTCCCCTAGGCTTGGGCGCATCTTGGACATGGTTCGACTCATTCTTGCGCGACTGTTGCGCTAGGAGATCACGCACTGGCGTAGACTGCTGCTCGTTGCGGCCCGCTGTAGCACCGGCCAGACTCACGGATGTCCCGCTCGTAGTCCTCTTTGCGCTGGGTATGCCGCGTTTCTCTGCGAGGTTGGTGGCTATCGAGGACTGGGGGAGTCGGCGGCGAGATGTCGGGAGCGTAGTGGATGCAGCTGACGATGTTCGCGAGGATGTCTTGGACTGGGCGGTGCTGGTTGAATCGGTCTGCTTGGTAGCATCCACTGCCTTCTTCTCTTTGCGCGGCGCTTCCTTGATCAAACCGGCGAGTTTGCGGTGATGGTCTTCGAGGAGACTGAGGATACGCAGAGCCTAGATAAGTTAGAGACTGTTTATTACTACCCCGCGACCACATACCTCTGCATTATGCGTGTCTTGGGCGGCATCATGGAAGGCGCGCGCGGCCTTGTCGTGCTCTTGCCCCGCGGTGAGGACGCTGTTGGATATGGTGGCTGTCGCAGCAGTGCGGGCGTGTTCGTGGGCGTGGGTGAGGTGTGCAGACTCCATGATGGTGGTGGAGGTGAAGGTAAGAGGGAAACATGTTCGGTGCTTCTAGTATCACAGCAGGAGTCATGCTCGCTCATGAAAGGCCCATGGGTGATGACGGCAGGGATCAAGCGACCCATGCAACCGTGTGGAGTAGATCACCGGGTGGATGGCCCGCCCGCTACTGGGGGACGTTGGAATACGCGGACACGAGCAACAGGCACCAAGTTTCAGCTTCCCAGCTTGCGCTGACTGTGTTCTTACAGCCTACGACGCTCGGAAACCTTCCGGACCATTGTCTTGCAGTCTCCTGACTATCATGAGCTCAGTGGCAGCGACAACCCTGGGGTACATGTAGCCTCCGCCACTATCGCCATCCATAGCTACGACTCCTACATCTACGTAACCGACGTATCATCCTAGCAAACACGACCACAAACACGACCATAAACACTACCATAACACGACCCTCGAGCATCGCCACATGGATATGCGCCCTTGAGCAATTGGAATCTTTTCACGTCTCACGGTGCGACTGCGCTTTGCGCCACAACATATACTAGGCTAGCCATGGCGGAGCAGGATGAAAGCATTGGTTCCCAGAGGGACTTCAGGGACAGCAACACGCTGGCTGCACCCTCAGCAAACGGAAAGGGTCCAAATTCGTCAACAGTGTCAATTGCAAGCAGCGATGGCGGCGACGACATGAACAGAGACGGGGCCATGGACTTCCTCAAGAGCCGCAAGAACTCGGATGCCCGCAGCGACGCCTCGTCCTCGCACCGCCGGCGCATGTCGAAGCTATTCAAAGGACGAAAGAAGCGCAGAGCCTCTGGCAGCCAGGACGACCTCTCACATCCAGACGCGGCCGACTCTGTTCCCCCTGTTCCCGAGCTCAAGCGGCCAAGCGTAGGCCAAATGTACCAGAGCGACGATTCCCTGGGTCTGGCAAAGAGCGTTGCAAGCAGTCTTCTGACGGAAGACTCTGATGCAGAATCGTGAGTGGCAGCTTTTCCTTCTGTTCTTGTTTCAGCCAGCGTGTCACTTCAAGGTGCGACCTGTTGGGCAAGGATTACCTCACGGCACTGATTACCTCACGGCACTGGCGCCGACAGCGTCGACTCCACTGTGAACAAGCATGCATTGTTCTGGCCACAGCTTCCCCACTGAGACTGTCTGTCATCGTCTCCGTCTCAAACACTACGCGCACCTTTGCATTCTCACCATTCTCACTATTTCCATTCGCTACTGTCTTCGTTCTGCTTATTCCCGCCGACTGGTTCGCCTATTCCTCCGTATACGCAGACTTCGGGTCGACGATTCCGACTAACCGACTGCAGCCCACCACCTCTCAAGCGCCCTGGCATATCACCACATCAATCCCACGCCGGTCTATTGACCCTTTCCTCGCCGCTTATAGCCTCCGAAACTCTAGAATCCACAGACGCCGATCATGTCGCGCTCGTAGACCCCCTAGCCTCCACCGAGGATCTGCCCGTTCGCCGCGCCAACACCCCCGACGCCCCCACGAACAAACGCGGAGTGTCTCCGGTTGGGAAGCTCAAGGAAGCTTTTGCGCCGAGTCGAAGGTCAACCACCCCTATTGCCCCAAAAGGCAACGACGGTGAAATCACAAGGCCAAGCACCAGCGGTGGTCTTGGCTCGCTGTTCGGAGGAAAGAGGCGTGAGACAAAGGGTGTAGACGAACCCCTCCAGGCCTCACCGCCACGCATTCAGATAGGAGACGATACACAGGGAAGTCCGTTGCTCAGAGCCACGCAGCCGAAGCGCATCAACACCCAGTTCAACACTCAGCTGAACACCGCGAACCTCAATCCGTCTGATGCACCCACAACCTTCATCACACCCCCGACACCAATCGATGGAAGCGACCCTTCTCCTACCGAATCGACCGCCTCCACCAACAGCGTAAAGCACACGCCGACCAACTCGAATCCCAACGTAGTCGTGTCTCCCTCGGGGAACATGATATCGCATAGACGCGTGCGATCAGCGACAAACCCACCAAGCAAGCTTTCGCAATCGTCTATACCACCACTCACTCCCCACATCGAAGAAGCAAAGACCCCTGGAGGGACTGCTGTCGCCGCTCAGTCATCGCCCGGTCCTGGCGGATTTTTTGCTTCCATATTCTCGGCTGCGCAAAACGCTGCTAACAACTTGAGTGATACAATTGCAATCAACGGGAACAACAAGAACAAGCCAAGCCAGCAGCCACAAAAGGAGGAGATTGAGGCAGACGGTGGCGAGGAAGTTATTGGGCCTGTAAACGCAGACACTACCGCAACCGACACGGAGACGCGAAGACCGGCTATTGAAACACTTGGATCTGGAAACTTGAGTTTGGCTCAGCTTGGACTTGCCGAAAGCAACGAAGTCGTTCCTATGGATTCTGCAGCAAACATTGCCATGAAGGCGGACGAGGCGTCAGCCAAGGTGGAGCACAATGCTGCCGCCCAGGCTGTATCGGCTGCGTACGCAGGAGAGAAACCACCGTCAATTGCGGGTGAACGCCCGCGGTCGTTGACTGCAGTGTCTGCACAATCCGCCCCGGGCGCTGGTTCTCCGCCACGGCAGCCGGAGATTACCGATTCACCAGCATCGATAGGGCGCCAGGGAAGCATCCGCAGTCGTATAAGCGGTGGCAGAGCGAGACGGCATAGGGGCAGCTCCGCCGCTACCGGCAATACACTGAGCAATGTCATAAGCGCAAGCACATCCACACTTGCACCCAGTACGGCTTTGAATAGCGCTCGTCTGAACGGCACAGGTTTTGCTGTTGCACCGCCGAAACGGAACAAGGACTTTCACAACCTATTCAAGAGCGTGCCCGAAGACGACTATCTGATCGAGGACTATAGCGCAGCCCTCCAGAAGGAGATTCTGCTACATGGGCGTTTATATGTCTCCGAAGGCCATCTCTGCTTCTCCAGTAACATTCTTGGCTGGGTCACCAACTTGGTCATAAGCTTTGATGAGGTTGTGTCTGTGGAGAAGAAGTCGACCGCTGTGCTTTTTCCCAACGCCATTGTCATCCAGACATTACACGCCCGCAACGTATTTGCTTCATTCCTATCGCGAGACTCGACATATGACTTGATTATTGGCATATGGAAGATATCTCATCCAAACCTAAAGTCATCTCTCAATGGTGTCACGCTTGACGGTGCCGGTGGTACGGGCGACAAGACTGAAAAGGCAGAGTCTGTCGGCAGTGACGACGGTTCGCTGCAGGATTCAGACGATGAAGTTTACGACGAGGATGCGGAAGATGATGATGAAGCGGGCAGCTTCACTGAAGCCGGCGAGGGCAGTATGGCTGGCAGCGAAGCAGGCTCTGTGGCCGTCGAGACTACGCGCAAGGTCAGCGGTGCAGTCGCACAGGCTATTGGAGGTGGTGACACGATCGAAGCTGCCAAGGCTGCAACAAACGGTGCCGCTTCTGCTGCGCAAGACTTCCCCGGTGGAACTGCACACGGACCGACCGAGTGTGGTGACAATGACCAGCATTACGATAAACTGCTCATCGATACCACTATTCCGGCTCCCCTGGGCAAGGTGTATAGCCTGATGTTTGGGCCCGCTTCTGGGGTATTCATGCGCAAGTTCTTGGTGGACGATCAAAAGTCTCAGGACTTGCAAATGGAAGATGACAAGAAAGGCCTGGGCGAAGACAACAAGGCATATTCCTATTCCTACATCAAGCCGTTGAATGCGCCCGTCGGACCGCGCCAGACCAAGTGTAATATTAACATGAACCTGGAGCAGTATGATTTGGAGAAGGCTATAAGTGTACAATGCAGCACTGCCACTCCGGATGTACCCAACGGAAGCATATTCCTTACAAAGACAAGGTATTGCTTGATGTGGGGTCCAGGAAATAGCACGCGCTTGATCATGACCTTTACAGTCGAGTGGAGTGGCAAGAGTTGGCTGAAGGGTATGTTTTGCACTGTTCTTCTAAAGTACTATGCTGACTTCTATAGGACCTATCGAGAAAGGTGCAAACGACGGCCAAATGTCATACGCCACATCCCTCACGGCCGCTCTCCGCACTGCAGTGAGCGCCGCTAGACCCACAGCTAAGATGCCAGGGAAGGGCGGAAAAGGCAAGAAACGCTCCAAGAACAATCTCCTGGAGGAAGCCAACACGCCCATTGCCGCTCCCACTCCCGCCAGCCAAGCCAAAGGAAGCGACTGGGGCCCATTGGAGCCTCTACACAGTCTATTGGGTCCAATCGGCGACATTGTAGGATCCCTCATCACACCCCAAATCATCATCTTCTGCCTGGGAGCGCTGTTGATGTACACTTGGTTCTTCCGCGGCACAACAACAGTATCCGGTCCAAACCACTGGTCCACGGCCCAACGACACGTTGCATACGACGAGCTCTGGCGTCACGAAGAGTCGGAACTATGGAGCTGGCTTGAAGAGCGAGTCGCCTTAGCCAGAGTTCACTCTTCTGTTGCAGCAGCTCGTCAATCCGAAACTAGCACCTCGCAGCAGGCCTCCATCGCACCTGAAAACATGAAGGAACGCGAAATGGACGAGGCGATTCGTATCACCGAAGAGCGACTCCAGGCGTTGAAGGAGGCTGTGAATCGTAAACGGGGTTCTCAGCAGTCGCGCACGAGGAGCCTGAAAGAAGAGCAGACGTGGGGGCTGTGAAAGGCGAATGAGCGGATGCGGAGCTGGGCTCGGAGATACCTGGGGGGTGTTTGAAGGACATCCCTGCTGCACTGCTGCCGTCGTCGTATAAAAGCTGGAGGAGCGAACCAGCTAACTTAAACTCGAAAGAGCGAAAAACTTTGTTACTTTCCTTACGCAAGTAACCTGCATGGCGATGGCGTCTTTCTTTTTCTCGTTCTCGTTCTCGTTTGCTGTCTCTGCTGTTTGCTTTTTGCTTGTCTGGACATCACTTCCTTTTGTGGTTTAGCTCGGGCGTTTTAAAGGTGCATTAGGGACGGGCCGGCGCTCACTGGGTTCATGTCACGCTGGGCTTGGGTCTGGGCCTGGGCTGAGTCTGGCTCCTCTGGCCGACCAGTTCAACCCTGTTTTTTTCTGTTCTTCGTATCACGGTTTGTGGGCAGTCAGGCAGTCGCGTATTATTTTTTCGTTTGTTGCGGGTGTATGGATGGGAAAATGGGAGAAGGGAGTGTTGTTCTGTATTTGTACTAGTAGAGTAGTGGTAGATATATACAATCATCCTCATCTGGATAGATAGGATTCACGTGTTTTGTCTTACATTCTCGTGTGTTGTTGTGGGTTGTTTGTTCTGACCTGAGGCTAGAGTCGTCATCATCATTTCCTTCTATTGACAATTGTTGCGCCGTTAGTGGCTAGTATTGTCAATGCTACGGAGTCTGTACCTTCCGGGCAGGCGGCCGAAATGCCGATCTAAACGTCTAGTCCCCCATCCACAACACCAGGAACCAAACCCGTCCGTTTCTCACCATCCTCGGTCTTAGTCTCAGCATATCACACTTGCCCCTGACTTACACCCTGTCACGATGCTATCGTATGCCTTCCGTCACTAACCCAGCCAGTCTACCGATATAACTTCACCATTCTACCAACAACACTACAGCAGCTAAATCCGGAGATGCACGACCTGCATGACTGCACAATCCGGATCACATCATACATCGTGAAACAGAACAGATGACAGATTCCATCCGACCCGCTACCCTACTCCCACGTTGATGATCGACCGGTACCTAAAGCATCACCACGTGCATAACAACAGTATCACGGGCGCAGCGATGGGGCACATGTTGCATGTCTGTCTTTCCACCCAACAGTCCAAAAGCCCAGGATATAAACGGCGCAGATATGGCGCAGAACCTTAAAGATCTTAGGCTGAGAAGGTAGCGAGGATGCCCAAGTAGAAGATAAGAGCGTGCGTAGTTCAGGAAGGGAGGAAACATCTCCGGTCGGGAGGGGGAGAGGGGAAGCTAGACTAGGCCGCTACTGCTCTGCTAGTGAGGTGGTTACCTAGGTAGTTGGCAGGAACGATAGCGTCATGTTCCGACTTGCCCGGTCGACTTTGACATGGGAGGGAGGAGCGACCGTGTGGTCTGGAGACAGTGGGTGAACGACTGGGAACGACGGGGGGAACACGGGAAAGAGGGGAGGTGGGTGGCCTTGGGTTTCAGACAGTTTGGGTATCCATCTCCAAACAACCCCATCAAAGCCTCACCCAGGTAAGTCTTCCCCATACATCCATACCTTGTAGAAATCGACTCTACAGACCGCCCCTCCATCTATCCTGAGATTTCTCACACTGTCTAGACTCTAGACCCTGCACCGATGATCTCAAAGGAAGAAAACGGAGATGCATGCAGCAGAAACCGCAAAAAGCAAGCATAACCGTCACTTTCGACCCCTTCCACGTGACACGCATACCCCGTTTAACCACCGCATGCATGAACGTCATCCACAAAAAGTAAGCAAACTCTATTCCGCCCGTTCTCGACCGATGGCGCGATTGGGTCTGAGTGGTGGTGGGTGAGTTGGTGGAAAGGTTAGGTTAGCAGTGAGGGTGACGAGGTGTCAGATCTATCGGTTCCGGTAGGACACCGGGGATCAGGAACAGGACTGACTAGGTGGGTAAGTAGCCGGACAGGTAGGTCATCACGGGGCCTACATTTGGGTATTTGGGGGTGAAAGGGAATATTAACTGGGCCAGGTAGCCGCATCTGGATTTGACGTTGACGCGTTTAGTTAGGGTAGCTTTGTTTAGATCGGGTTGGGCTGAGTTTGAAGCTTGCGGGCTTGCGGCCTTCTCCGCCCGCTCCCCGCCAGCCTTTCAGCTGTGTCAACGTTAGTGGGGAGGCTAGGTTTGAAGGGCAGTGAGGGAAACTCTATGGGGAAAGGAGGTCTAGATTCGGTTAAACCGAGGTATAGCGAGGGGGGTTTGGGCAGGACGAGGATACGATAGCCTTGGGCTGCTCTTCCTTGCTGATGTCTAGGGGATCTAGGATAGGGTTTGTGTGGCTGTGGCTACCGAGGGGTGGTGGTTTAATGATAGGTATAGTATCCTCCTCATTCATTCCTTGGTTTCCAGTCTTTTCTCTGTAGTCATCCGGTTTTTACAAGATTTTGACGCTTGGTAGCGATTTTTTCTTGTGGAGGTGATTTTAAGGAATTTATATGGCGATTTTACATCTACGGTGATCCATCAACACCTACCGGACCTTGGAGGATATCATCGTTGTCACTGCGAATAACGCCGCACGGTCGTTAATACGGTGGTTGTCTACTGGAAGTTTTACCTCGACACACAACATACGCAATCATGGCAGAGAGTGTCAACGGTCATGGCACAAGCAGCTTGCTTCCGCCAGTGTCCATTGTCCTAGCCTGGCCGGCAGCTAATTACGAAGACCCTGTTACACGATCGAAAACCGCGCTCATTATATCTATAATGCTCGGAACGATCGTGTTGGTAGTGGTTACTGCGAGGATATGGGCAAGGGTTTTCATACAAAGGAATGTTGGAGCTGATGACTGGATTATTATTGTTGCGCTGGTGAGTAGTCAAACCTAGCTTCATATGTGCGGAGAGAGTAGTACTAACGAAACCACTAGTTTCCCACAATAGCATTAACAATATGTGTATGTCTAGGTACATGACCCGCTCCCCTCCTCTTACACCCTACTAACTCACCCCCAGGAACAGAACACCTCCACCTCAACCGCCACATCTGGGACGTACCCTCCTCTTACTACGTCCCTGAACGCAAAATCACCTTTATAATCTACCTCCTCTACTTCATTTCCGGCGGCCTCATTAAAACCTCCATCCTCCTCTTCTACCGCCGCCTCGACAATCGCTGCATAACACGCTCCTTCCGCCTCGCCACCTGGATCAACATCGTCGCAATCATCATCTTTATGGTCTCATTCTCCGTCGTGCTGCTGACGGCTTGTGCGCCCACCGCCGCGTTTTGGCTGCAATTCGACGTGGTGAAGCAGATCGAGAAGTACGAGTATACGTGCTGGATTGACGAGGGCGCATACATTCTCTCGGGCAGTGTCATCAGCGCAGTGCAAGATGGCGTCACAGCATTCCTACCCACGCTCCTGTTTTGGGATTTGAAAATCGCACGACGCCAAAAAATCGCGCTTGGCATGATTTTCGCCCTTGGATATGTGGTTTGTGCGGTCGCGTGCACACGGTCGTTTTTCATCTGGAGGACATTCAATGATGACTTGTATGATAGTACGTGGTTGAGTTGGCCGGTTTGGGTCCTCACGGTTGTCGAGGTGCATCTTGGTATGATTTGTGCGAGTGCGCCGGCACTCAAGGTGTTTTGCTGCCATTATTTCAGGATGATGGGGGATCGGTATGGGGCTGGGTCGAGGGGCGTGTCGGAGTTGGATTGGAGTGTGGTCAGTGCGAGTGCGAGTAAGGGGAGCCAGGAGGCGATTGTTAAAGAGGCGGATGCGAGGTCTATGGATGATTTGGAGCAGGGGATTGTATTGAAAGAAACGACCAAGATGGAGAGTACGGAGAGGACAGAGGTTATGGAGACGTTTGTTTTCTCATGAGAGGATTGGGGGAGGGAAGATGAAGGAAAGATTCAGATCGCATCTAAGAAGGAAAGACAGCATATATCCGAGGCTCGAAGTCCAAAGCGCAGGCATATCAACGGCACTCATACACAGAAATAAGAGTTTCCGCCGTCCAAGTCCAGCTTCGCCTACCCGAGCAACAAGATCCGCGGCAAGATACCTACACCAAGATCAGGAGCGCACCACAGAGTAACCAAAGATGTCGCTCCACTTCGAGAAAAGGCACCTCAACAGAGCGAAACTGTATAATGACTGCATTACTGTATAATGACTGCATTACTGTATAATAGCAAACTAATAACAACCATTGATGAACATGCCCTTCCCCCACTTCCTCTTCCCCATTCCATCCCCATTATCCAAGCGCCTACCCCTCAATCCCATCAAAATACCCGTACTCCTTCCCATCTTTCCACAGCGGGCTCCCCAATCCAACCCCCATCTTCCTAATCGCCTCAAACGTAGCCTGCAGCCTCGTCTGTCCCGGCGTCGTCGCACTTGGCGAAGAAGCTGTTGTTGTACTACCCGAGGATTTGCTCGTGGTGTAGGTGGATGGTGTGCCAGAGCCAGAGCCAGAGCCGTGGTAGCTTTGTGCTCGGAGTGCGGTTTGGGGGCGGGATATGGGTGTGTGTGAGGAACGAGGCGGAGGTGACAGTAACTGAGTAGGGGGTTGGGGTGCAGGAACCGGTGGTGGTGTAATTATCTCCGCAAAATCAAGCACGACGTGACTACCGCGTCGACTGGAGTACGTGTTGTGTTTTATCCCCTGGTTCCCCTTTCCGTGGCTTGGTGTGTTGGATCCTCCTGTCCCTGGGCTGTTGGGATTGGAGCTGGGGGAGAAGAGGGTTGTTATGTAGGTTTGGTCGAGGTGGGGGATACTTGAAGAAGAGGCGGCGGTGGATGAGAAGTGAGGGTGGCATGAGGTGGGTGCTGGGGTTGAGGGGATGCTGGTAGGAGCTGAATGGGATGGATGAGTGTGGAAGGATTCTATAGTTGGCAGGGAGGTAATAGATGGTAGGTTTTGGTGGTTGTCTTGCTGGGTGATGGAGTCAGTGGGTTTGGGTTGCTGACTTGTCGTCTCTTCAGTCGTAGCTTTTGGACTACCCTTTCCACTGCCATCTTCATCCTCTTCCTCGATCACCTTATCAACCCCTTTCGAAGCCCCCACACTGTCTCCCCCTTTCCCCTTATAAACCTCATCCAAATCCGTAACCTGCACCCCAAACTTCCTCTGCAAATTCTACAACCTCTCCTCATAACTCTCCGTCAAGGTCCCAGAAATCGTGCTTATCGTCTCCATCGCATGATCATTGGGTTTCCAATCCACAGGACACAGAACCCCATGTTTCGCCACGGCTTGAAAAGCTTCCAGCAGACGAAGGGCTTCCAACACGCTTCGGCCTACGGTGAGGTTGTTTAGGGTGATTTGTTGGACAACACCGCCACCGTCGACTAGAAATGCGCAGCGGAGGGTGACGCCTTCTTCTTCGACGAGGACACCGTAGTCACGGGCGATGCGTTGGTTTGCGTCTCTGAGCAGGGGGATGTCTACTTTGCCCAAACCGCCGTACTGGCGCGGCACGTTTTGCCAGTGCCACAAAGAGTGCTTGGTGTCGACGGATATGAAGACGAGGTTGCAGTTGCGGGATTGGAATTCTGAGAGGCAGGTTTGGAAGGCGAGGACTTCGGTTGGGCACACGAAGGAGAAGGCGGTGGGGATGAAGAGGATGAGGAGCCAAGGGGAGGTGTCAGAGGAAGTGGTGGCGGATGGGGGGCTGGTAGCAGAGGAGGAGGAGGGAGAGTGAATGTAGGTGCTTAGGGATACCTCTGCATGAGTAGGTTAGCCGTGCATGCTAGAAGGCACAATGGGGTAAGGAGGAGGTACCTAATATGACACCGTTGACGACGGCTTCGCAGTGGAAATCTGGGGCTTTGTGGCCGATGCGGACACGACCTAGGGCGCTCATATTGTCTGTTCTTTCCCTCAAACTTCAAAATTGTGAAGTGCACAGATGCTTTACAAACACCCCAGTAGAGAGTGCACAGAAGTTGGAACGCACCTGTACCCTCGTCCACACTCTACCATCTTTATACACCCCACCAATCTAGCCCCTTATGCCTCTCCCGTCCGCAGTCAGAGCAAAACGCAGACTCCCCGCACCCGTTATTCATTGTTTCGGATGTTTATGGTAGATGTCTGTGGCGAGGTTTCCGGGTTTGGCGCGCGCCACATTCTTTGAGGTTGTCAGGATCTAGATCAGTGTAACGGGCTGATAAGAAGAAACAAACAAATCAAAAGCAGAGATGATATAGCCATGACTACTGCATATAACTATACCCAAAAGGAATCGTACGATAGATAGGTAGTAAAAAGAGTACGTGTATATGGTAGTGATGGCCCGATCATCATAAACTCGCAGGTAAATTTGGAATTCGCGACTCCATGTCTTAGACAAGCCCCACAACCCCAAGCCTCCCCTTTATCCTCGAGAACCACCAGCAGAAATAACCCGCCAAAGATACATTCGTCACCCGCATATCTGACCCACACTAAGACATCCGACATGTCGCAGATAACCCCCACTGTCAAAGCCGTAAGAACAACTCACCTACGTATCCACATCCCCAACAACACCCCTCCAAAGCGCCTCCTCTCTCCTCTTAACAGTCTTCTCCCTAACCCCCAACGCCTTCTCCACCCACCTCGTCTTTCTCGCAAACTGCCTCTCCCTCTCCTCTACATCCTTTTCTCTATCCTCTACATCCCTCTCACGCTGCGCCAACGCACTTATCTTGTCTTGAACTTCCAGCCTCATTCGTTCAATCTCCGTGGTGGTTGACGCGTGGGCCTCTGCTGTGGGAACGGATGCTGGGGCTGCGGGTTGTTAATCGGGCGTGAATTTTGCGGTGGGAGAGTAAGGGCGGACGGGGGAAGCGTACACTTCTCCAACCCAAACGGCGCCTTAGCATACAACCCCGTATCATAATGAGCATACGGACATTCAGCAGACGACCTGCTACACCGCTTATATTGGCACCAGAAGAAACACGTGAGTGGCTGGCGGAAGTTCTTGGGTAGATTGGTGTCGAGGTGGGTCGTTGGGCTGGAGTCTGCTTTGAACCAATTCGCAGTGGGGGGTGAGTGATGGTGGGCGTCATTATTTGGACGTGTTGATCTTGATGTGGAAGTTGGTTTCGTCACGCGTCCACGGTCATGGTCACGGCGGTAGTTTGAGTCGGGTGGGCGGCAGGGAGGAGGGAGACGAGAGCGAGGGGAGTGATGGTAATGGGAAGAATGGCTGCGATCGATTGTGTCGACGTCCATGTCTGTTCCGTTCCAGAGTCAAAGGAATCGTCGCTCGAAAAAATTGAATGAAACAGAGGAAAAAAGACGCGTCGACAAGACAAGTTGGGGGCGACAACAGACGTGTTTGTCTCAGTGCAAACAGAGCACTGACCTAGCGGCGGATGCCTGCATACAAGATTTCTCTTTCCGTCTCCTCTTCCAAAAAACACTCTCTCATCAAAGAAAACGTAGACAAATCGGGGGAGTGCAATGAATTAATCGTCATATAAAAATCCGGGGTATCAATGTCCTATAGCTTACTCTCGCGTACATGTCTCTCCTCTTCAACAGGTAATGCACCACTCATGAAATCAAGTTCCTCCTCTCTGCCGTAAAGCACTCTTTCACGCCCGCCTTTGGTGGTCCACCAGCAGACCGCCACTCCACTACGTTCTGCATCCATTTCGCCACTGACTAGTACTTCCCAGTACCGTGCTTTGACGTTTTCTCGCATGTCATCGTCGCTGATCTCGTTGAGAAGCTCTGCGCATAGAGGAAGCCATTCTTCGAGTAATGCGATGGGAAGATAAGGTAGAGCGTCAATTAGGGTTAGTGCAAGCACAGCTTGCTCTGAAAGAGCTGGAGGCGGCGCATCTGAGTTTTGTAGAGCTAGTGCGACGGAATCGGGGGGTAGTGCCTCTGTAGGGGCGGTGAGTGCTCGGTGGAAGACGAGCTCCAGAAGTGTGGCTGGGAGATCTGGATGGGTTGCTGATAAAGTCGATGGAGGGGCCGTGACTCGCATCAGTGTTTTGAAAGCCAAGCGGAATTGACGGGGCGACAAATTATGAGGGAAGACGCTGAATAAAGCATCAATATAAAAAGGAAGATGCTTTGCTGTGATTTCGGCAGATTGTGGTGCGGAAAGCACGGCCAGCATGACACTGTGTGCCGCCTCAAATACTGGCAGCATATGGCGGTTCTCGCCAGCTGCGAGGTAGGGTACTGCTGAAGCTACAAGTAGATCTTCGTTGGTGGCTGTAGATAGCACAAGAGTAAAGTGCTCTGCTGTATTGAGAAAATACAGATCTAGTATGCGATCAAAAGGATGGCGGGGTATCTGTCCGAGTTGTTGGGGCGCGATAGCTTTGATAAACTTGTCAGAGTGGTTGGGATAGGCAGAAAGGATGTCAATCGCTGTGAGGTACACAAAGGTGTGTTGGGAAAAGGAGGCTGGGCCGAGCCTAGAGGTGATGAAGTAAAGATGGCGTAGGATTTGCAGGGCTTGCGAGGCGAGTATTGGGGCGATGGCATCCCCAGCTAGTGCTCTATCTTGCAATGTGCGGTTGAAGACACCCCGAAGTATAATGGTTGTTGCAAAAAGGGCAGCCTTGAGGACATTCCACAATTGTGGTGTTGTCTTATGCAAGGCTTCATCCTCAAGAGTGGCGGCTTCTTCGGCGGGCTCAACGGCGGAGAATTTAGTTTGTCGCCATTGGGTTGTGAGGGCGCGGGAGAAGCTTGCCAAGTCA